CCCCCACCCCCCCCCCCACACCCCACACCCACACCCAATTATGCGTTGCAACGATTTTTCATCGAATAGACTCATTACAATGGCTAATTTTTTTCTCTTGAGATTAAATAAATGGCGATGAATACAAAATAATTGGTTATTTCAAGAAGAACAGGTTTTATTGCTATTTTATTCGCGTGCGCGATTAGAAGGCCATACAAGCACTGACCAGGCTCATATACACATGAAGTAAACGTGAGAATATGCGGTTATGTGCAACGGACACCAATATGATTCCGGGCCGAGTTTTTAGGATCAATCAGGAAGGTCTATAGAAAATTAGGCTTATACGAGGGATGTCAGATGAATTTGACTCACTCATTCACCTTATTAAATAGGGTGTGGATGTAGACAAAACCCATACTCACATCCTTGAAATTAATTCTAATGGAAAAGTGGAAATAAGAAAACAGCATTTTTTGCACATGGTGCTAGCGTGTGAGGCTTGCAAGAAGTCATACACCGACCCTTTCTTTTTACTTTGTCTACCACTCAAAAGTACATGTCCTTGAAAATAGTGGGCATCAGCCACTTTATCTTTATATGATACTACTTCAAATATTAAAAGAACTACAGATCATTTATCAACTGATATTCTTATATTTTTCATACAGCTGAAAGCTTTTGTTTTTTATTATAAATTTTTTCGCCTGTTTTTCGTTCTACCAAGTTTTTAGACCCGAAAAACACAGCTATCTGTCATAACATTACATAATTACCATATTCCTTGTTCGAGATTTGACACATTTTATTGATAGAGTCGAAGGAGCTCAGCTCTTTGGTAACCGTTTAGGAAGTTACCTATCTAACGAGCAGTAATCTTTTTCAGCTTCGTTTAATGATAGTGCCACTTATATTGGTTTTCATTTGTATTTCATCAGTAGTACATTGATAATCGTCAGTAATAAGGCATCGAACTTCATCATTGTTTTCAGATGCTGTCTCGGTTACAGGTTGATCAAGTTATCATTGATCTTCGATCTCTTCTCGATCTTTACGAAAGAATTTTGAATATCTGGCAAATATATTGTAAGATGTAGTCTGATCGTCGAAAACAGAATATATAGAGTGTTGCAGAAATAATCCATGAAAAAGAGAATAGTATATTTCCAAGTTTTTATTTATATATTAGTAGCTTATTAGCAGACTTGAAATCTATCATCGTCTACTTCAATACAGAAGTCGATCTTTTTCAGTGAAATATATCATTCATCAATCCCAAAAAACACAACGGTCTCCGAACATCTATTGACAAGTCCTATTTTATCGTGTTTTTTTCTGCTGATCAATGCGGTAAAAAAAAACTTTTTTTCGATTTTCTTTCTCATTTCTTGAATGAAAATAGCAAAAAAAGTTCAACAAAATAATTAGCAGGAAAAGCTCAATACAATATGTCTTGTCAATAAGTTTTCAGAGAGCTGTATGTTTTCTGTTGAGAACCCTAAGAAGTACCCTACCAAACGTTAATTGTATTCGCTAATGTTTTCAGGATTTTTCTGTGCGAAAACATTCGAGAGAGGACTGTGGAGTTTCCTAAAAAGTCGAATAGATTAGCCAAAGGTAAAGCATTTAAATAAATTATTGAAAAATTAAGAACATGAAGGTATGCATCAGATTATAGAAACCCAAAATCTATGGTTTATCTTTGAGAGAAATGTGACTTCTTCTCTTTCCAGTGAATAATAATAGTTTCAAGCGATACTATTAAACATTTTGCTGGAAAATCAATATTTAGATGTTTTTCTCATCATCAGAAAAAAATCAGTTCATATGGTTATAATATGAGAGATATACAATTTTCTTTTTAGTACGTGACTCGTAGCACACCCTCAAATTCCTCAGGAATCAATTTGGTTTGAATGTGAAATGCAGTAGTCGCTTTAATGTAGAAACGAAAATTTTCTTTATTCATTTAAAAATAGAAGTGTTTAACTTCCATGGAAATTTTTTAATATGATATTAATGATGATATACTGCAGACATATTGAGCACTCTTATAGTGCTACGAGCTCATATGGACAGAATTTTCTCTCAAGCTTTCTATCCTTTGATATAATGTTAACCCCATTGCGTTTGGAACGCCCTACGTAATCCTTGAAAGATTTCGTCACATTTCATTTGTTCAATAAATGAAAATGATTATCCTGTATTGGTAATTCGAAAACGAAGAGTTGGAAAAAGTTTATTAATAAGTGATTTGTCTCAAAGCAACATGTGATGCTGATATAATTGACGTTTCTGATATAACATTCAATTGTAGTGAGTTTGTCTTGTTTTGTCTAAATTAAATATTAATTAATTTAATCATGTTTATAGAGAAATAGACGGTTTATTTGTTGATGGAAGAAACTGAAGAATGACTTTAATGGAAATATTAAACTTATTTTACAAAAAAAAAGCAAATGGAAAAATGTTTTGTTTCGTTGATGACCTTAATCTTTCCAAAGTTGTTCTTTCCCCTTTGTTTCTTAAAGTATTTTAGTAAAAAAAGTCTAATGTTTACTTAAATTAGATTGATTGATATAATGACCAATCATTTTAGCTCAAGTTGACGGAACAGCTGAATTAAATGATGGAATGAGAAATATGTTTCAAATAACAAATCACCGTATTTATTATATTTTCACCGATACTATCTACTAAAAACAGTTTCGGAAAAAATCTGTCACGGATATACTGTAACGAGATTAGCATAAATGTCATGGTATCCTTATATTCAAAATTTCACAGAAATTGTCTTTGCTATGGAAAATCTAATCATAATATTGAATAGAGCTTGACAAGTTGTACTTGAAATGAGAATAGGAACTATGAAACGGATTCCTCGATGACCATGGATAACCCTTTACTGAAATACGATACTAACTTTACCTACGTGTAGTTAAGCAAAGATTTTTTAGATGAGCTCTGTCTCAAAACAATCTTACTGGAATAATAATGTTAAAAGCTTTGGTGAAAACTTTTAAAAAACTGGCCTTGTAACAAATGTGAATAGCTGAAAGAATTATTCTCAAGAAGTGAATATTTCTCGACAACATTATATAAAGGCACATGATCGAAACATATCGATTGTAGATCAATAGAACAAAAGAATTTCGCCATATATATATTTTTATTAATTCTTAGTGAATTGTGACTTCTATATGAATTTTTTTATAAGTAATTTATTCTAAAATTATGAACTAGATAAAAGTAAGAAATAAATTCATTTATACCAATAAAAGTTTGTCAATGTTTTGAAAACGATCTACTTTTCATTTCGGTGCAAATCCAATTCGAAGAAAAACTTTTCGTAATAAAATACAAAACAAAATTTGTCACCTGTAAAGAATGTTTTGACTATTCCTCATAGTTGAGACCATATTTCTCATGTATTCTTTGTTTCAAATATTTGACTAATCGTTAATGGAATAGGTTTGTAAAACAATAATTAAATTCCCGACCAATGATAACCTGCAATTACAAGTGGCACACTTTGATTTTGACAAGAAGATTGCTCATGACGAAAGAATGAATAAATATTTCGTAGTTTTAAAGATGCAAAAGCTGCAAAACGACCAAATCCACTCTCTGTACTAAATATATGTTGTTCACATAAACTAAAAAGAAAATTATCAAATATTCCTAATTGAAAGGCTAATATTCGATCATTTGCATATGATATATGAAAAACTGGATTGGAATTCGCTAAAATATTTAAGCTACTATTATTTGATTGACATTTATTGTCAAATGATTGAAAATATTCTAATGAGAATTTCCAACGTTTTAAAGCAGCTTGACGTATTTGAATATCATCAGATACAAGAAAAACAATTGGAATTTGATTTGTTTCACGAAATAATTTTATATTTGTATTAATTATTTGTTGAGAGCATGTAAAAAAGTTTTCAAATTTATTAAGAATTATTGTTTCATTAAAAGAAGCATTTGTTCGAGTCATTGTTTGATCTCCAGCACGAATTTGAATTCCAATTGGAAAAAATCTCGGTGATAAAAGTGTTTGTAAAATTTGTTGAGGTGAATGACCTAATTGATTATTTGAAGAAATTAATGGAACTCTTTTGATCAATGCAGATAAACGATAAGTAAAAAGAGAATGATAAAGGCATCCAAAAATATTTTCTGGATTCATTTCAAGATCAATAGTTAAAAATTTTCTATAAATACTTGATTTTGATTTAATTGTATGTACTACACATCCTGTATGACCTTTAAATATAAGAATACGTTCAGGAAAATCTTTTTCATAATCATAATCTTTATTATATCGTTCAAGAGAAAATGAATAATCTTTTATTGTTAAATTATTTTGAATTTTTAAAGATAAATTTTTCGTAATTATATCAAATTGAGAAAACCAAGGAATAACAAATTCTGGTTGATAATTTAAACTTGATTGTGTAGCATCTATAAATTCTGACCAATTTTTATCAAATATAAATAATCGATTTGTTAATAAAGCTATTAAATAACTTGAGATGAAATGAATTATTCGATCAGCAATACCTGATGTAGGTTTTTCATAGATTAAGAAACGAACATTAAGTTCAATTATACGTTGAAATTGTTGTTCAAATGTCATTGATCGATTATTAATATTGAAAGTAATATTTTCATGCCATTTTTGATAATTTAAAATCCAATTTTGAAATTTTTCTGAACATACTTTATGATTTTTTGCTATTTCAAATGGAACTAGACGTCTTGTTTTAATTGAAATATTGTTTTTATTCAAAATTGTCTTATTAATTGACGCATTATTTTGTAAATCAAACCAATATGAAACAGCTTCTTGTTCTCTAACAAATAATTCTCTTGAAGTCGAATGAATTAAAATATCTACAGAAGAACATTGAAATGCATTGAAATTTAATTTTGAAGATTGATTTTCATTTTTAGATAAATTATTTAAATCTGAATTTAAACATTTCATTGTTAAAGGCCATTGAGACCAAGAGAATAATTTTTCTTGATCAAAATTCAACCATTGATACGTAAAACGAAATTTATCATTAACTAAGAACATTTGATGAATATCAAGAGATATAATATCATGTTTATACGTTAATGATAATAAACAACTCGAATTTTTCGATAAAAATGTCAAATATATTTCTGTAAAATTTAATATTGTCACACGAATATTCAAATAAATATGACAAATTGGATGAAAATCATTAATATTTTTCGAATTTTTTAAACAGGTTATTTTAAGACAATCAATTTTCTCGTTGGAACCATTTTTGAAATAATTTAAATAATTCTTTCCCATTGATGTTAAGTTTAATTTTAATGTCAAATAATGATTATGAAAAATTGGTTGAAATATATCTTTTTCTACACGAGGCAATTCTCTTTCATATAATGAAAGTAATTCAATCTCGGATCTTCTCATTAATACTGGTATACTTCGAGAAGATTCTTCATAAATCTTTTTCAATTTCAATTCTTTTTGAAAAATAAATAAAATAATTAAAATAAATATAATCAAACCAAAAATACATTGAATCTTTGTAATTGGATATAATCTTGTCTTTACTATTCTTAAATATAGTTCTGACATAGATAAAACAAATACAAAACAGTCAAAAATCTAAAAAATTATAATAAAGAACCATTAGAAAAATATTAACTTTTGTTTAGAAAATAGTATTTGTTTAAAAAAAAGAATTTTCTATAAGATACCCGTCTGATAAACCCATATGCAAATATTTCTCATTGACAATCGATCACATTTCAATGGAGTTTGATTATATACTGAACATAATTAGAGGATAAACAAGAAGAATAAGAATTATTCTTCAATCTTTTATACTTACATATGTTCGACCTTTATCTTTATCCATTCTTTTCTATTGAAATTCGTCGATTCTATAAAGTTAGAATAGAAGAAGAATATATCTCTAACTCTCTTTCTTCTCATCTATTTTACGTACTTTGAACAATTCAAAAGTAGTAGCAGTAGTAATATTTTAATTCATTATAACCAGCATAAAGAAATTTTCTCTTTATTTAGACTTAAGCCAGTAAAAACAATACTGTATTTTTCTATGATATTTGATCTTCCTTCATTAATACAATAATAAAAATTTTTTTATAGAATCTGCTTGCTATAATATGTGACGGTAATATTAGATCACGTTTTGTATTTTATGTCTCTTGCCTTCTTAATGTTCTCTTTTGTTCTACTTTTTTCTCGTCTACTCTAATGTCTTATCGTATATATATATATATTAGAGTATACAACAGGGATGTAAGAAATTGGACAGAGCACAATACAACAATTCTGAATTATTTTAACCGTTTAGATTTTATTTGATCAAGTCTAGAGAGTTGTTGTAAAACTTGATGAACTTATCTCTGTATTTCTGTTTTGTCCTACCGATACCCTCTAGATGGCAAACTATTCGAGAAGACAAGAAAAAAGAAGAATAGTTCACACGTCGAAAACAGAATGTAATTTAATATTACTATCACATATCATAACAAAGCAGCTCTTAGCGAAATTTTATGATTATGATATTAGTTGAAAGAATGGTCACATGTCATAGAAAAATAGAGTATTGTTTTTACTATCATCAGACTACATACAGAGAAATTTTGTCTAAGCTTTTTTTCTACAAGAAATTAAAATATTTTCACCGCCACTTTTGAATTGTTCTAAGGGCAGATTCTGTTCTTAATAATAAAATTCGTGCTTTTTTTCTCTTCATTTTCTTATATAAATAATTACTTTATATTTAAATAACAAGGAAACTGGAATGTGGATGTCCGTGAATCATTCATTGCTGAAATAAATGCATATCCAATGAATTAGTATGTTACTTAAGTCAAATCCAAGTACAGTTACTGAAGTAGTGTAACTGACACTTTTGAACAGAAAAAAATCTTATCTGAGTCGATGGTAGTTTTCATTATTTTTCTATGAGTTGTTTTCAACAGTTTTTGGCTTAAAATGCTCATTTACACATATAAATAATTTGTTTTTGTTCTGCTGATAAAACAGATTCCTTGCTCATCAATGATTTCAAACACCGAAAACTATGTCTCATTTTCGATAATTGTTTACGAATATACGAGTTCGTTATACTGGCGAACACAGCTAATTATGACCCATCTACGTCAATGACGATGTAAATACAAAAATTGCAATGATAGTGCTGCAGCGATGAATTTCTTTCTGTTTTGTAACGAGTCTTTTTTCTTCGAAAATTTCTCATCATTTCGTGAGATCATCTCCAGTTTATAGATAAGACATATTTTACATATATACATTTTCTAATTATAAACGCATTAATTTACCATAGTTCAACGTGATGTATTGTTCCTTAACCTATTGTTCTATTTGATGACTTTCAAATTTCAAAAACATTAGGATGTAGGTGTGGGTAGATATAAGATGTGTGTGTGGGTACGCAGTGTGGATGGACATTGATGTAGCTGCGCGCGTGCAGTGTGTGACTTCTAGTCAGGGTGTGAGTGGGCATCGGTGTAGTTGCTAATCATTCGTTCATCCATATGCACGCCAACACCCACCCACACCCCTGATGAAGTTAACATCGTTTGACAAGACGTCATTAATAAAAGCAACAGGAAGAGAAAACAAAATAATTTAAAAGAACAATTCAATATGACCTTTCTTAATGCCCATCGGTGTCGAAAGATTTTATCTGAGAAAAATGATGAAATAAGTATATTTTTTGTACATGGGCAAAAAAAGAATTCTTTTTGACTAATGAAAGTGTAAGAAAGAGAGAAAAAAGCCGGCATAGACTCATACTTTTTATAGATGAAAATTCAAAATAAAGAAAAACGAAAACCAACATTTCTGACTAAGACAAATATGTTGATATTTGTATACACTTTTTAGAAGAGGGAAAATCTACTTAGCTTACGACGCTGTATTAATTTCGACCATGATTTTCAGTAAAAGTCAAGTGATCGCTCAATTTTAGACGAAATTTCATGTCTTCAAATTTTTATGCTTCTGTTTTTCAATATTTCAAATATTTTGTTCCCACTTTTCTCTAAAAACCTCCATAGTCTGTTTAAAACGCACGCAAAAACACAAGTTTTGTGGAAATTATCGTTGGAATTCACACAGACCAACAAGTGAAGTAGTTTGTTTCGTTTCTGCAGCAGATAAGTACAAAAATCGAATTACCCATCTACCTGGATAAAATGTTACTGAACTGGATGTTGCTATGAGTGTTCGTGTGGGTGTGAGCCTTCTCTTCACCTGTATCCACATGCCACTCATGGAACAATTTTAGAAAAAAAGTACTTTTCCGTAGGAACGTCGCGGTGTCTTCTCGATTATCATGGTCCCAGATATGATGGCAATTAGTCGAATACACCCAGACCACAGTGAATCTACTTATGACGGCGAGTATAGAGTGTGTGCTGAGTAGGTATGTTTGTGATTATGAGTGTAGATGGAAGGAAAACTCACATCCACACTCACACATTTCACATATATCTAGCGCATAAAAAAACAGCCGACCAATTGTCAGATGATCGATATTGGTCATTTTCCTACTAATTAATTATTTCTGTCTTTGACTACATTTTTTTCGTGAGGAAACACAGTTGTCGTTTTATTGGTAAAACGACTATGACTATTAAATGTTATAGGACGTTAAATCAGCTAAATCGAATACAATACAACCATTTATTAGCCAGTATCGTGAGTTGTTAGACTATTCAAACATTTTAGCCAGGACAGTACGGAAGAATTAGAATTGTATCTACGAAAATCATGTTTCTCGTCTGTTGTTCTTTACTACTTTGTGTCGTTGTTATTAGGTAATATCTTATAGGCTAGAGTGTATAATTAAAAATTTCAGTCAAATCATGCACAAACATTAAAATAAAGGTAAAAATAAAATATAGCAGTAGCAATTCGAGATATCAGTGCTAAAGTTACTCAAACTACAGTATATTCACGCAAAACCAAGGTTTTGGATGATAGAACTCCATTTAATATGCCCTATTGTTATTATGCATCCTGTTTTTCGTAAGAATGACACGGATGTCGTACCTTACTGTACGGATGATATTTTATAAAGGATTTCTCAATTTAATATGTATTACTTAAATGGCATACTCGAGAAAATCGAATTACTCTATAGTTCGCACGATGCTCTTTGAAGGGTAATTCACCTAAAATTTGTGAAAAATCAAGGCGGAACTGATTGTTGCACGTCAGCTTTATTAAGTCAAAATACCTTAAGAGGACTCGAGAAAGTGTAGTACACTCGACGGCGATCTTCGGTTCGTTCCCAAGAATGCTTAAAGCGGCATGAATTATTCAAATTCCGATGGAACCGTTCCTTTTTATGGATATATAAAAACCTCGAAAGTAGTTGGTGATAGAAAACCAGGTATTACAGCATTCTCAAGATATCGCGATTCCATATGGTTTTGAAAAATCGAATAAAATGTCTGACTATCGTGGCCTAAATAAATCGACTAAAATCATGGCTATAAAATACTTTTCCATGAGCAATATCTACACCTATCAGTGTTGTCATGTCGTCATAAGCCATTTATATGGAATAGAGAGGACAACATAGCGCATTTATATTTACTTCTAGCTTTCAAGTAGAAAAAAGAAGAAGCTCAATTTAATCGAACACTGAGATAGTAATCTGCAAACTCGGGAAAACAAAGTTGAGGGATAGAAAAGCTATCAGTTCTTAGTAAAACTATAGCAGTGTGAACGTCAAAATATGCCAGTGGATAGAGCTCTTCGAGTTGAATAAAGTTGCATGACTTGAAGATAAAATTTTTTAATTTTTTAATCCTGCTGGTGTACGAAATTCGGTTTCAAGAAGATCACCAATTGATATTGCCAAAGGATTCTTCTCGATCTTTCATCAATCTCTTTCATGATATATAAACTGATTGTTTGCGTTTTCGGCTTATTCAGATGGTAAACATTGTCAAACCAATTCGAATATCAGAATAAAAAATGAAATTCGGATATATATCTTCCATTTCAGAAATAAACAGTATGCAGTGTACTTTTCTGTTTCATTTCGCTTTCAACTCTCAAAGTTGAATATAATTGACTAATCGACATACTCTGTGTATTTCTACTGAATTGGGTATTATCGAAAATGTATGGCGTAAAGGACGACCAAATCATACTCACACAAAAGAAAAATTTCACCAAATAGGGAACGGTGCGTTTGCATTACTGACATTGTTTTATCTATTTCTTAGACAGTAGCAGAAATTCATTATGATACCTGTAACATAAATGATGGGTTATATCAGCCAATGAGTTAATAGAATAGGTAGGTTTTTAAATTCTGTCATATTTGTTATGAATAATATTTTTCTTAAAATATCTGTCACGACTGCAGGACCGCTGCAGGAGAGGTGGAGTTGGCATTACCTTTTTCACTATTTCCAAATAATCGAAAAAGCAGCACTTAAGAAATGATAAAGTAGTTTATCAAACGCTTACGGCTTGAAATTTGTGACGAAGCATGCACGTCGAATATTACTGGCATATTTATAAATTCGCACGCTCTTATCAACTTTTTTTTATTCAAT